GCACTGCTCCTCTTGAATCTGAGGTTCGACAAGCGGTCGGAGCCTCCTTTCCAGCACCCTGGCATAAGCCTTCCCCGGGAGGCTGAGTAGTGTGATACCCCGGTAATTCGAGCACACTCTCCGGTCCCCCTTTTTGAAGATGGGAACCACCACCCCGGTCTGCCATTCCATGGGCACTGATCCCGACCCCCATGCGACATTGAAGAGGCGTGTCAGCCAGGACAGCCCAACTATGTCCAGCGCCTTCAGCATCTCAGGGCGGATCTCATCCACCAAGGAGCTTTTTAACTACCTCAGCGACCTCTGCCAGGGATATGGGTGAGCCTCCCCCTAGGTCCTCAGGCGCTGCCTCCTCTGCAGAGGACATGTTGGTCGGGTTTAGGAGTTCCTCAAAGTGCTCTTTCCACCGCCCGACGATGTCCTCCGTCCGGGTTAGCAGTCCCCCCCCCTGCTGAGAACAGCCTGGGGTAAGCCCTGCTTTCCCTTCCTGAGCCGTCGGATGGTTTGCCAGAACCTCCTTGAGGCCAACCGAAAGTCCTTCTCCATGGCCTCCCCGAACTCCTCCCATGCCCGACCCTCTCGGAGGCGACCCTCTCGCTCTCCGGCGAGAACTCCAACACAGCGGCGCTCAGCCGGGGGCTCGTGAGTATCCCCACTCCCGCCCGGCGCCTCTCACCCTGGGCAACTCCGGAAAAGGACAAAGTCCAACCCCTCTCCAGGAGCTTGGTTCCAGAGCCAACGCTGTGTGTGGAGGTGAGTCCAACTATTTCTAGCTGGTATCGCTCCACCTCCTGCACCAGCTCCGGCTCTTTCCCCGCTAGCGAGGTGACGTTCCACGTCCCTAGAGCTAGTCTATGCCGCCGGCGATCGGCATGCCCGGGCCTCCCGCCCGACCCGCCGCCCGGTCTGCATAGCACCCGACCCCGATGCTTGTCCCTGCGGGTGGTGGGTCCACAGGGTGGCTGCTCCATGGTGTTCATTCGGGCTGAGCCAGACCGGGCCCCATGGGCAAAGGCCCGGCCACCAGACGCTCGCCTACGAGCTCCCCTCCTGGGTCTGGCTCCGGGAGGGTGCCCCGGTTTCCCTGGTCCGGGCGAGGTGGCTGTAGTCCGTGGGCTAACTATCATAGGGGTTGTTTTGAACCGCTCTTAGTCTGGGCTCTCCCCTGAAACCTGTTTGCCTTGGGAGACCCTACCAGGGGCTAATGCCCCGGACAACATAGCTCCCAGGATCACTGAGCCACTCAAACTCCTCCACCACGATAAGGTGGCGATTCACGGAGGAGCTTAAAACAATTTATTACAAATAAAACAACTGATTCAGTATCTTTTTGTCTCTTCTTGTTTTTGTTTTTTTTCTACTTGAAAAACAAGTTTCTGCTACATTTAATATTTTTACTATATACGTCTGTACGTATTGGTTATTTGCAATTGCTGCAATGTATGAGACGTTATGGAAATAAACCAGATAATGCATCACGACAAAGTCTCATGTCCTGCTAATCTATTCTGTATACAAACACACAACACCATTATCATTTCTAAAGCTTAAAGGGAATCTTTGCCGATTTTCAACCTGGCTTTGTATCGTTGCAATGTGGGTGGTATGTGCAGATGAACGCTGGACTTTTGCCGGCGGATGAGCAGGAAGCTCTGGGTGCTCGCAGTGTGGAGGCAGGTTGAACGTTGTTCATTTGCATACCCGCATTACAAAGGTGGTTGAAAATTGACAAAGTTTTTTGTTTTAAGAAAGAGTATATGTACTGTACCTCCTCACACTCCGCTCCATGGAAAACCACCAAACTGTCGCACTCTCTGCACTTAGACGGGGCGCGTAGTTTTCTCAGCTTATGGGTTTGAGCAGCTTTGGACATCTGAGCATTTCGGAAGGGACCCGGAGAACTGGCCGTCTCTGTCACCATCTCTGCCAGACCTGAAAATCAGAGCCACTGATGAGGGAACTTAAAAAAACAGGCGGCTTCATGCCGAGTTCCTGTTAGGTCAAAGCTGAAAAAAACTGAACCTCTGTGAGGGCAATTTAAAAAGTGACAGGTCTTTGTTGATATCACGACACAAAAAACACATCAGAAAAGATTAAATTAAGATAATCATGATAATAGAATACATTTAGTCATATAAAAGTCACATTGTTTTTTAAATTAAGTCAATAGAAAAGTGTTTGCTGCTTCAAGTCTCAATGAGAAAACAAACACACACACTGTCTAGAAGAGAACCGCATAGATACAGGAAGTGTAATCTTAGGCCGTACGCCAAAACTAACATGACCCCAATCTGTGCAGCTCTGTCAAGTGTAACAATATTTGATGCAAGCGAAACCCACCACAGAGTCAGGCCCATAAAAAAAAAGCACTATATGAGCAGTGGTCTCTATTTCTCCCCTCTTTCCTTGACTTCCCTGTCAGATAAATGGACACATTGACCGGCTGTGTTACTGCAGATAGAAGCCCAAAATTGGTACACATTAGCATCCATCTGCTTGAGGAGAAGGGGACATATAAAAAGACAACACACACACACACACACAATCAAGCGTTACCATTGTCCGAGGGCGGCTCTCTCTCATCCAAGTCATCAGCAGAAGACATGGTCCCAGTGGAAGGAGTCCTTGGCAGCCGTCGTTTGAAGTCACCTGCACACATATGTATACATATATATATTATATATATGTATACATATATATATATTATATATACATACTTAGCTCACAGCGCAGCAAGTAGTTTCAGCTGTAAAGGGAAGTGCACTCAGATGAGTAGTGCGTGGCTCTGGTGTGCGAAAAGGAAGTTACACGAAAACGATTATAATAAGAAGAAACGCATCATGAGCACCTTCATCCTCCTTTAGTGTTGTTGTGATTTTCTCTTTTTTATTTTCTCACTCTCTTTATCAGTCACACTTAAAATGTGTCACTTAAAATCGTCTTTTAAGTGAGATGATTTGGGTGTATTTCCATTAGGATTTCTTGATCTTATCTGCACAATTGTGCATTTGCAAGTGCAAAAACCCTCAACACCTTTTATAAATTAAGAAAAAAAATGTAATGAAAAAAATCCTCTTACCTGGACTGGCAGTGGGGGAGTCCATGGACCTTGACTCGCTGCTGCCTCCCGCACTCTCTGAGTCACTGCACATGCCGCCCTGGCTCCCCTGACTACTGGAGGCCCAGGCTCTCAGCGTGGCCGGGCCTCTCAGCACTGCATGAAAACATACAGAACCACCAGTCACACACAAACAGAATAACAACAAAGAAACACGGTTGAATGGCAGCTTCCCGTTTAGTGATATTCTTAGCATTAGTTTCAGCTATTTCAGAGACATGTGGTCACAAAGATATTCTAGACTTATGACGAGTAGGCAGCACACAACTGTTTGGATTTTAGTAATGAAAACATTTCCATGACTCAGGACACAGGGCAAGTCCCTGAAAGGCTCACATAAAGATAGAGGCAGGTTTGCAGGCTGATCTGACCCACAGACCGCCTGCCAGCTTCAGCTGTCCAACCATCATCAACGATTATTTTGGGCTTGGGAATCATCCAGTTTCTAAAATACTGTACATTCATGTCGGGAAAAAGCATTACCGAAGTAGGTATCAAATGGGATCTTCTCTAAAGTCTGCTGGTATTCTTAGAACTTGTAAATACATAAGCCATCATTGTTTGACTTGTGGTCCTTTGAATTCCCATTAGAAGCCTTAACCACTGAGTGAGCACCTTGTATGTCCGTGCTGCTGTTGGACCTCCGCTCGCCGATCTTTGCCGGCCGGTGAAGGGGACTGTCCACTTCGTCTCCGCTCAACACATCGCAGGAGTTGATGGATGCCTGAGACAGGTTGCCATGGGAGGAATGAGTGCTGCCCACTGACCTTTTGTTTAACACAAACCTGGGGAAATAAAGTCAGCATTTAAGGTTACGTGTGATGAAGGTTCATATTAGCCTGTATTATTAATTTACACAGTGCTCTCTGTGGGGATTTGACAAGATTATTGAACATGAACTCAACCATTACTTCACCAGGCACAGAGACTTAACTTTCAGCCATCTAAAACCCAGTGGCATGAATAAGCAAGGATGTACTTCAGAGCTTTATATAACCTCCTCGCAACACACCTGTAGTTAACGAGCCAATTAATTTCATTGGAAATGAAACATGCCATGTATTAGGGTGTAGGTCTGTCCACAACAGGCTAACCTAAACAGTTCTGGAGAACCAACAAAGTTCACTTTATTTGGTATGAGTCATTTCAAAGAGTTCAGTAATGGAAGTTGTGGCATAACTCAGACTGAAAGAGAGGATTAGGAACAGAAACTGAGTTTAGCCCGGCCAGCAGACCGCATATGTCAAACATGGAAGTGCAAACTTGTCTCAAGCACTAAATTTACATTCTAAGCCACAAAGTGTTTTTCAATCAATGTCAACACGTGTGGTTTAGGTTTCACTGTACCTAATAGAGCTACAACATTATTAATCTTACAATTAACATTAACCGTAAACTAAGAAAGTGAAACTTTCCTTATTTTCTTAGTGGTAATGTGTGTTTGTGTGTGTGTGTGTGGTGGGGGGGGCTACCCTGCCACTGCTTTGACAATCTAAGCAGAGTCTTAGGACAGCTCTAACCCAGAGCCAAACTCTCACGCTCACAATCTCCCCTGCTGCATTCAGCCTGCGCCACAGATATTTCCTGAGGAAGAGCAACAAATTCAACACGCATTCTGTCTCTCCTTGATTCTCTCTCTCTTTCTCTCTCTCGCTTCCTCCAACTCTGACTCACTGATACCTTTAGTGAAACAAGAACTAGACAATGAACAACCTCTAAATCGGCAGGAGTTACTTGAAAATTCTTTTGAAACACTCTCCTCTAAATCTGACGGTTAATCCTGCAAATATAGTCTCAGCTGGGCTCATTTAACATTGACTGTTTAGTGTTATGGCCTGTAATGACTGTGTTTAATCTACAACGTACGATTAATAAAAGATTGCAGCAAGCTGATTTTATAAATACAGAAGACCATTTCCAGAGTCTTAGTGTGCATCTACAGTACAGTACCTGGTATTGTCAGAGGAGGTGGAGTCTAAGTGCACACGTTCTTTAGGCAGATTTTTGGGCAGATTGCGGACGAACTCAGCGTAGCATTCACCCGGTTCGTACAACTTGGCACTCTCGCTCAGGCCCTGGTAGTGGGGGGGGAGCGACACAGTCTGCGCCTGCTGCATCTGAAACCAGTTCACTGTCACCTGAAGAATGACAGACGATTCAAAGTGGAATGAGTGAGTGAGTGACTCACTAATTATAAAAGGCAAATGAGTAAATAGACGGAATAACAAACATACAGGCAAACAATCATTCTTTCATGTTTAATAGTTTCTATTCTTCCCATTCAATATCATCAATTAGGTATTCGGTGCAAACTTTCAGTACCTGAGAGATTTCTGAAATCTGTGTTCCTTAATCAATTCTGTGGACACAAGTTTACGAACCACTCCAATCTTAAAAATGCGTACAGTGCATGTCAAATGGCTTGGTTCATGATAGCATTGGTATGGGGTTCAGCCTATAAATGCCTTGAACTTGGCTGATCCGAGCACATTTTTTAACTTGACCTTCTGTACAATCTGAAAAATTCAAGCAATCTGAAAAATATTTTTTGCCAAAAAGTTGCCAAACACAGGAAGCACAGCACACAGTACAAGTAGGACATTAGGCTACCGGCCCAACATTAGTCATTTTGTGATCATATAAACAGCAATTTGTGCTTCTTAACTGATTCTAATTTGAAATATGGAGCTTTTTTTATATCACGTCAACAAACCATTTACAAGCATCAGAATCAGCTTTTTTTGGCCAGGAATGTGAAGACATACAAGGTAGTTGACTTTCATTGTTCTCAATGTACTTACCAAGAAATAAACAAGAACAACAAATCTCGGCAGAGGTGACACATAAACATTTAACTACCAGTAGCAACATAGTAACGTAGATTTAGTGGTGCTGTGAAGTGTTAGTGCTTGTATTAAATTATCTTTGAAGTTTTAGTCTTGTGCTTCTGTGGCGCTACTAATTTGTTTACTATTTATCATGCATTACTTACAAGATATTCATTTGAAAGAACTGTATGTTATTGGACAACCCAGTCTCCTCTCTCAGTTCAGTGGCTTAGCTGACTGCTAATATTATGTCCTGTCCACTCACAGCTTTTAGCGTGAGGTCACACTGGAAGACCATCTCTCGGATTTGTGTGAGGATGGTGCTCTTGGCGTTGGCCAGATCCAGTCTCCTGACGCCTGCGTCAGCCATACAGCTCTGGTACTGGTCCTGGGCCTCCTCCGCCTGAACAATGGAAACAGAGAATAGTGTGAGGACGTGGATGAAATGCTAAAAGTACAATGAGTGTGCAGGAATTCAACTGCAGTGCACTGCCACAAAGACAGATTTTGACAACAAGGTGACAGAAACCCAAGCCAATATGAATTGTCCTGGTGTGGTAAACCTCACCTATCGACTGAGAAAGCTGAAAATGTTTAGGAATCATTAAAAGATGCTATTTATCACATCAATTATTTCCCCATATCCTCTCCCTTGCCTACCTTCTGCAGAGCCTCCTCCTCCAGCTTCCTCTTCTTCTCCAGCTGTTTGTTACCAGCATTAGCCTGCTCCTCCTGGGAGCGGTTGGTAGATGAATGGGCTTTCTGGTACTCCTCTCTCCTCTGGGCCTTCAGCACTCGTGCCTTACGCAAGGTTGCATCGGCCTCTTGCTGCCAAAACCACACAGATTAACCACAAAAGCCCATGTGATCAAAATGTGACATTTCATAAATACAACCAGGTTATCATGTTAATAAACATTGCATGTGAAGTGACACAGTAAAACATGCCGATAGCGTGTATCTAGTAGTGTGCACTACATACCATTTTCTTTTGCTCCCTCTGCCACTGCTCCTTTAAGTCTTTCCTCGACTTGTCAAGATCAGTTTTACGGGCCAGGAGAGGCTGAGAGGAGAGGGAAGGTCAACTATTACACTGAGGCACACAATTTCAAAATGCCTTTTCCCTGAAGGGATGTTTATTCTCAAAAGTTTGACATTAAAAGATAAGGCATACAGATGTTAACTATATCAGAGACGCTCATTTCCTAATCAGTACATACTGTTGCAGTACTTTAAGAGTGCCAGATTTTGCACGGATGGCACAGACATGATGTCTTTTTTCTTTTCTTGTATTTCACCAAAGGTCTTTTATTGTTGTGCACTCTTTATGTGCATGGCGCGTATGAATAGCTCTGCTGCTCATACATTTTTTTTGATTATGCTGGGTGTGTCCGCTTGAGATTTAGAAGCCCCAGCGACACCCGATCACACCCGTGGCTGCCATGTGTGCTACAGTCGTCTTATTCTTCTTACTCTTACCTGTATGAACTTATTCGTCTGAAGAGCCATCGCAGTTTGAACAAGCAGCTGTTTGTATTCAATGTCGTTCTTGAATGTAGAAATGTAGACATCACTGAATGGCATGTACACCTTGGACAAATGAAATAAAGAAATTAACATCGGAAAAACACTTTCATACGTTTTTTTATTTTAACAAAGACAGGAGGTAACAATTCTATACTAACTACATATAAGAAAGGAATATTCGTATGAAAAGGCTCTTCTTTTACCTGTTGACTGACCAGTGTCTTAGCAGACTCAGCCATCTTTGCATAGCTTTTGGCATACTCAATATCTGAAAGACAAAAAGTTTGACGAAACCAAAAGGAATTATTCTGTAATTATTATTATTATTATTATTATTATTATTATTATTATTATGTCTGTAATTACTGTCAACTAATGATTACGTGTGTTTAGGGGATAAAAGCATAAGCAAATGGTTTCTGCTTCGACTCAAAAACAAATAAAGATTCTCATTAAATATACATCATCAGGACCTGTGGGATCCCAAACTATATAGAGTATAGGCTGTTAAGCTAAATACTTTGCTTGTTGATATGGTCATCTGAAGCATAGCATATCCACAAACAGACTCATTTCAATATTCCAGTTGTCTTGCCATGCCCGATTAGTTTTCTGTAATTGCTTCGATATTCCTGAACATAGCAGCTAAATGTGTAAGAGAACACCGTCTCTGCAGTTTCAAGAAGTTTCCCTTCTGGTATAAAGGAGTGAAGCCTTTCTTCCTGACTGAGCTGAGCTGCCTACTTGAAGACCTGTTAAGTGCCCAAAAACTGTTCTGCCACTTCTGAACTCTAACCTCAATTAACAGCCAAAAGACGTATAATGACACAGGGGTCCACTTGCAAAATGTTGCTTCAGTCCTCCTGGTTCAAATACAATTTACAGATTTTTTTAAACTGCACTGCAACACAGAATGGGGTGCATTTCTACCGCTGTTCAGAAGTGATCAATCATCACATTCTTTCCCATAATATCTTGGATAATGTCCTAATGCAGTAACCCAGTGCACTGTCAATGTCTCACCCATAGCCAGTCGCTTCTCCATCCACGCCAGAAGGTCTTTGATATACTTGGACCAGGCCTTGGCGTAGAGTAGAGCAGACTCCACACCGCTGTCATTATTCAGCAGGGTCAAGTCAACTTCTTCCTCCCGCGTCAGCGGCACCTCTGGTCCTGGAGAGTCAGCAGAGGAGACGCACATCTCAAAACAAAGTAAATCGAAACACACGGTATCAACAGCAATGCAACGCGCTGGATTGATGCGTCTCAGATCTACTATCCCAACAGACGTGTGTGGGAGGTAAATGGAAAAACACGTTCAGGTTAAAAGTTGACAGCGTAGGAGGATGTGAAAGTGCCGGGCATCTTTTCAAATAGTCCAACAGCATTATTTTACTTTACTGGTCACACTGTGGCGCACATCTCTCCCAGCCACCCGCCATCTGATTTAACACAAACCCCATGTGTTTCCCATCCCACACGGAACTACTCCTAAACAGGCAAGGAATGTCGGATATGTGTCCAGAGAGGGGAAAACCAGCAGCTTGCATGAAAAAAAAAAGCAGCAGAAATAACAGGGGTGGAAGCAGAGGCTTAGGGTGGGTCTACCTCAGGCATTCAAGAGTCCAGAGCCTAAAACACTTGGCCAAATCACAAGCTGACACTCTTGGCCGCCCTGGGCTACAAAGCAAACCATTAAATGCTTTGTAAAGCAGCCATTAATAGCCATTACATTTCAGGATCCATTTATTTCACACCCACGATGCTCAGATGTAATTAACAGAATGTGAATAACACTTACCCACAAGATCATTCTTCTCTGAAGCGTATCCCTCAGGATCCACAGAGAGATTGTCAAAAGACTGTGAAAAGGACATCTCAGATTATAAGGAGGCAATATAGCAGACATGCAATCAAAGTCAGACATCAGAAGCAGCAGGATTTTCAACACCCCAATTAAGTACAGAAAGAACGTCTTTGAGGCTTTTTTTAAATGGAGGCGTGGTGAAATTGCTGCTTTAAATGCACCCTTTTGAAAACTATCATGTTTAAAGACAAAGCTTGAAAAAAGAAAAGAAAAAAAAAAGCTGAGAAAAAGAAGAGTGTATCTCACCCTGCTTCTCCTGGTCTGGGGGATCCCCAACCCTGAGCCACTGTCCACATCTCCCATAAGGAAGTCAGAAACTCTGGAGGGGAAGATGTGTAGGTGTAAGTCAAACGTACAGTGTGATATGGTATGCAGGAGTTTGCTCTCATTAAAAAACTAAAAGCAGATCTACAATTCAAAACAAGGATACATATAGGACAGAGGGATTCGCTTAAGACTCAAGCAGTGCTTTTGTTACACAAAAAAAGAAATAGCAATCTCGTGGTGTTGAAAAGGTATACAAACATTGCACTCACACATTGCCGAATGTGAATGCCAGAGTGTCAATGGATGTGTGTATCTCGCCAAATGTAGCTTTTGTGTTTTCTTGGTTCTCTTCCTTGAAGTTAATGCCTGTGGAGAGTGACAAAACACACACGAACCTCAGCCAAAATGACATTGCTATACAAACCAGCTTATGTATACTCAATCATTCAACAAATGCATAAACACAACAAGGCCTGTATGTGGCCGGGTGATGAGATATCACCAATTTAAAAAAAATACACATGGACAATAGATCAAATACATTTAAAAACCAACAGTGATGTATTAAATGCCTCAGAGCATTGTGTGTTTTTCTGTAATAATGAGAAATAGAAGCCAGTGTGAAATGTTTAGCTTTTGTGTGTCGTCTCTATAAAAGGGCTGACGTTGTCTCAAGTAAGTGTTGACAGTCTCCTTCGACGACAGACAAAAAGTTACACAGGGTGTGGTTACGCAGGGTCAAGAGTTTTAAAGACAACACTATGAAAACAGCTTAAAGGGCAAGGACATGTACGTCTTCCCATCCAATGAGAAAAGTCTTCAAGGATCTTCACGGATGGCAATTCAAGGAATATTCAGAAACAATCCCAAAGTCTCCCTCTTTAGTTCCAGTGTGTTATGATCCATGAGCCATCTCCTATGTTGATAATGCACAGAAAAAGTAATTAATCAAACACATTCTTTACTTCGAGATCTATTGACAGCAAGATGTCCACTTATTTTAGAACCAGGCCATCGAAGCTTGACAAATCTTGGAGAATGTGTGCACAGACCTTTCACTGTCGGGGAACAGTTTTTCTCAGCAAGAAGACATTTGCAGAGAGCAATCAGAGGAGCAAAAGACCGAGTGAAATCCAACTAAGCCGAGTACTTCCTGTCTGCCCGCAACAGGAAACACTCACACAGCTTGAGTTCTGTGACATGTAATACTATACCTAACTGTCAGAGCGCTTACCTTTTCTCTCTCTCTCTCGTGGCATCGTTGTCTTGTAACTGGTACCGGAAATAAAAAAAAGCTCTAAGAAGTTCCATTTTCCAGTCTGCTTTCTAGCTTTTGTGCTTCCATTTCCTCTTCATGAGAGCAAATTCGATCCATGTCAGTGGTGGTTGGGTAATTGTAAATGTCCAACTGTTGACGAAGCATAGAAGGGTCATGGCATGCTGCGATGGGGAGGAAACCCCGCGATCCAGAGAGACTCCCGACGACACGAAAAGAGGGGAGACAGCAAGGCACAAGCCTCCCTGTCGTGCACCTCCCTGGCCATGAATGCTAGCGTACAACTCTGCGCTGACTTCTTTCTTCCTCAGGACATCCTGTGGGTCTCATAACAATGATTCCAGAGCTCTGCCCCCCCTTGTCACGATTGAAATATGGAAACTGCATCATTCAAGTGCAGAGGCCATTGTCTTCTTTCGGTTGAGCCATAACGGGGACAATTAGCTCCTGAAAAATGTCTTTAGTGAGTTAAAACCATATCTTATAATATTATCATAATTCTGGCTTGACATAGCTTAAAATCTCTGCTGTGATATGCTTTTAAAAAACACTAAAACATCAAAGATTTGTTATTAAGAAAACAAAAAAAAACTATTGTATTTACATGCAGAAAATAGTATCCATTATTATTACTATTATACAACAGCATTCTTTTCTTAGATTAATTAAATTAACTACAAAACATTCATCTGATAGTGACAGAAGGGAAAGAAATTCAAAAAGTTGAGGAAGTTAACACTTTTATTGCACTTGTACTTCTGTAGGAGGAGGGGAACATGAACACTCTCAAAACGTGACCAGGAAAAGCTATTTTGTCTGGGTCTGCTTTTGAACTTCAATGAGAGGCTGTGAAAAAGATCATAAATTAAGCTAAGTGGAGCAGATGATGTGCTTCACATTTTCCAGTTAGTTAAAAAACAATAACAGGTGAATAGTTTGAGTGGATAACATCTACCAGGGCTTGACATTAATGCTTGCCCAAGGCAAGTAAAATCTGTGTTCGAACAAGTGGAATGCCTGATGCGTCCAAACGGGCAAGTGAAAAATAAATTAGGGGCCAGAAACTTGAATAAATACAGTTGTTTGAAGAGATGTTTTCGAAGCAATAAAATAGATATTAAAGAATGAATTATAAGGTAGTAAACATCTCAAGCCCTGATGCATGTATAAATGGCATTTAAAACTAGTTGGACAACCATGCGTTTGGAGAGGGAGGTTTTCTTTCCAGTAAATTCTGCCAGCTCAACTCGCCCCAGGTGTCCCGAGCATCAAAGAGCAACGTGAGTGAAGAGACGACACACTTTGAAGACACTGAGACGCACGAGGCCTGTTATCATCCAAACCTTTGAGTCCTCATCTCTGATGTCTCGCCGATTCATTCCTCTTTCAGTCCTCCTCTGGCTTGCTGTCTGCATCAATATTGTGTTACCTACTGGCCATTAGGGAGAGTCCAGCCAGCATGGGTGTTGATGTAAGGCCCCCCCCCTTGTGGACAGGCACATTTCCAAGTTTCCACTTGTCAACTAGATATGCAACTACTGTACTTACTGCGAGATCACATGACAGGGCTTTCCTTGAAAACAGGAACGGCGGCACACTGCACCGCCATGCTGTACAATAGCCGTGCTGTGGTGTCATTTTTCCATCCCGTCACTGTCAGTCCAGTAATTAAAGTTAATCTCAATAATGCCAATAATTCTTTGGCTGATCCAACACGGGATCTCTTTTGTTTCCTTCGTGCATTCTAAACATTGTCGAAGCACTTCTCAGCGGACTACAGATGCAGACATGCATTCTTAAGCATTCCTAAGGAGTAGGTCACAACTCAAGATATTGAGATAGGGCAGGTTAGCTGTCAGGCAACCACACACCCCCATGAAGCTTGGAAAAGAATGAAGACGCACGGATGCGCTTGACCGACAAGCAGCCTGCCGGGGGCCTCCGCGGTCGCTGAAATATGGAATGCAAATTACAGCCGTGTAGTCTCTGCTGTAGAGATCATTGTGTGCAAGTTAGGTTGAAGAAATACCCTTGCAGTGGATCACGTTTCCGGCTGGAGTTGTGGGTTGAGATTCCTTTTCTTTTGTATTCATTCAGGAGACGGGATAGAGATCTGTCGCTGAAGGAGTAATTATTTCTCATACTATGACCTTTCAGAAACAAATCTCCAAAACTGACGTAGGCTTTTAGCCTGAACCAGAAATGCAACAAAGAGATTTCATGCCAAGATATATGAGCATCATCTTGGTGCCCGAGTGCTTTTGCCCGTATGTCTGTGTGCCTTCATGCATGCTTGTGAGTAATTACCGACCTTTGACCTTGGCAATGACTGTGCCAGCCGCTCCCAGGATGTCCACTGAGTTGAGGGTCTGGTGTTTGCTGATGATGGCTTTGAGGACGCGGAGTAACTCTGCCAAACGTTCCTGCACCACTCCCTGAAGACCTTCCAGATTCTCTGAGAAAATGGGAGAATAAGTAAATCAAATCTGAAACACAACCACCGTGCGCGATTTGCAAATCACACATTTCCATCCATTTGTCAAAGACACCACCATCACACTACACTTTGAGTCACAGGTTAGCCAGTGCCAAATGAATTCCTGCCATTCCTTTTGTCTTAGCCACACGATTCACTTGGCAAATACTTTGTTATTTTGCAATAATGAAACTTGCATGTCATCTTTTATCTCACCCAGACAGTTCAGGGCAACTAATACAGTGCATTGTCTGTGACTCCAGATATAAAGTGGAAGACGGTTGGGGTTGAGCGACAGTGACTAACTACTGCGATGAAACTTCTTTTCTGCTTCCTCCAGGCAGACAGTAACACCACGTACAACGGAAAAGGCATGTGTCTATGCAAACAGGTCACACTGTGGCAGTCGCAGTTATAACATTCTCACACAGGTGGAGTTGATGAATACAGAACTGATTACATGCTTTTTGAGGTTGCGTGGCCCAAGTGAGGTCATGTCAAACTCGTACTTAAGAGAAACATCGCAGTTAACAAAGCCACAGACTGTATCTCTGCAACAGCCACTGTGTCTTTCAACATCGTTGAGTACTGGTAGAGTTACAAGCTAAATGAGACCTTTATTCATTCAGCTTTTACTGCTGAATATATAGAACTGTGGTGTCTGAGTTTATGTAGAACACAATAAAAGGGCACTCACACTACATTAGGATGAAGAAATAACATTTTAGAGTCGACTGAAGTGGCACACATGGCAGCTATTATGTACTTTTTCTGCAGCAATCAGGAGAAAGTGTGAAAAAGATCTTGCATTTTTCTATGTTACCAGTGAGTTTTCTGAAGGTGACACTGGAGGAGGAACAGAATGTACAGATTACCTCTATCCTGTTATTTTCACTCTGAAAGGTATACCTTTCCTATAGAGCCAACCAAAACAGTTGGGGGGGGGGGGGGGGGGGGGGGG